TAATGTTGTGAATATATATATACAATATTGTGGAAATGTTTTATGTCCTGCCAAAAAATATTTTTAAAATATTTTAAAACATTCTCACAATCAAAATAAAATATTTTAATGTTCGCAAAAAATATTTACACAATATTTTGAAAATATAATTTTGCTGTGTGGAGTTTGTAATACTCTGTTTGTGCAGTACCTATGTCGCATGTCAACTGGTTTTAGTGTTTAGAAATTAAATTATTAAATTTTATTTATTTGACTTATTTACATTTTCTTTGCGTTACAGTAGTTAGGAGAAGGATAGGTTATAATATGTGGCCACCCTAAGGAGTAAGGATCAGTTTATTTTTAAAAAATTTTGACTTTGGTCAAAATAATATGATGGCATTAAAAAACTATGATCTAGGTCTCAGATTTCCAGGATMTAATTTAGTCGATTAAGWCAATTCAAACATATTATATCGTTTGAGAGTGACAAAATAATGTATTTATCTACATGGTGATTTTTTAAGTATRCTYAATGCTCATCCTATTCGTATRGTTAAATTATGCATTTATTAAAGTTCAGTTTTTTGGGATTTTTAAATAGGTACACTTGAAAACCATCTTTCGAATTTTTGAATTTTTTTCTACCACTTAAGAATGATCCTATGATAATACAAATTYAACTTTTTCAAATAGGAACCTTCCTTCTTTACTGAAAATTATTTAGCGGATATTTTTTGTTGAGAATTTTAATGTATCTAAATTTAATTTCAAGCTTGTAGTTTTTGAATTATGTTACTGTGTTTTAAGTATAATAATATTATGTCTTTGGTAGGTATAATGGGTTAAGAATGGTAGATAGGGGGCATAGCTGATTTGAACAAGTTAGCAATTAGTATTGATTTATTATTATAAATAACTGAAGTACAATAAATACTATATCTAACATTACATATGGTTTTTATTTTTTATAACACCGTTTCAAAGGATAATTATCCTTAGTATAAATATTTTATCAACTCATAAACGGCACTCTAGAATTTTAATTTCGATAGGTAGGTTCATCAAAATGATTYAATAAATAATTTTCAGTAAAAAAAGGGGTTCTAATTTGAAAAATAGAAGTTTATATCGCCACARAATATTCCTTAAGTAGTACAAACAAATCAGAAATTCRAAAATATGGAGTTAAAGTCTACTTAAAAATTAGATTATTCTAAAAATAAGAATTCAAATAAATGTACTTTTAAAGGGAAAAATGGTGGTGAGCATTTAAAAAAAACTATCCTGCGTGTATATGTTTTTTATTGTCCTATATAATAATATATACAGAGACCATAGTGATTCCTTATTTATTTTTTTTTTATTGCACATTTTACATTTTGTAGGTAGGTATCTGTTGTGATATGTAAATCATCTGTCTTAAAAGAAAAACGTTTTTAAACATAAGTACTTAAATACAATAACTCAAAAAAGATGTTAATTTATTAAAAAATAAAACTAGTCTAATTTTAAATAGATACCTATGCGAATCGTTGATTATGAATTTCATAAATTTTACCCTTCGATGAATAGTGAAAGTAGCACTAAAAATAATAAATAACTAATTTTTTTAAATTCCATTTATGAAGTTGTTGATTTACATTTTACAGTGGTTTTCTCATAAAGTTTTAAATTAGAAACAAACAACAACTGATGTTCATTTATTTACAAGTTATAACTTATAACGTTCATTCATATTTCCAACAATTATTTTATTCTTGTACGAATATTTATTATATTATATTTATTCAATATTCATAGTGCATACTACCTCTTATGGTTAGCACTTAGCACACCAGCTGCCAGGTAGGTATATAAAATGTTAAATGTACGATAAGTACCTACATTGTTTGGCTGATGTCCGAATATGTTAAGTTATATTTGTTTATTGTATAATATGTATGATGTATCATATATTATTAATGCTATAGGTATTTTTAATTATAAAATCATCATTATCTAAGTATATATTTCTTGATGTAGGTACTTATATAAAAAAAAATGAAAATTGTAAGTTACGAATAGCTTTTACAGATAGGCAAATCAAATTTGGGTTAAATTCAACTAGGTGCCTATCTGATACTAAAAAATCTGCATTTTAATTTTCACACTCTATTTTTTGAAAGATTACGAATATTGTAAGCAATAATGAGCATRGGCGTGTCCAGGCCTCCATGGCTTGGGAGGCCATTTATAAAATTTAAATTTTTTACCTACTACAACGATCTGTATTTTATAATCTATATTTGTGACTTTTTATTTTTGTATGGAAATTATATAGCACTACTAACCATATAGAAATCCGTGTTTCAACCACGGTAGATTATACATCAAGAGGCCAAGAATCAAGTCACTGGGGAGGCCGGTGCCCACCCTGCCTCCCCCCGTAGACACGCCTATGATAATGAGTATATTATTATAGTAGATATTTATTAAACGGTAAAAACTTAATATAGTTGGTATTGTTGGTAATCAAGCTAATTATCGAGTTGATAGGTAGATTCTAAACTTTGATTTGGTTATTGGTTCCCTAAATATATATACATCTGCTATCCAGTATCCACTTAGTAAGAGTGCGGTTTGAGAAATGAAAATTGCAAATACTTACAGAATATTTTATTTCGGTAACTATAAAATTACAAATTGGTTTACGGCCTTACAGGGCCATACGATATGGTACCTAAATATCTGTGTATCGTAATACATTTAGTGAATATACACAGTCGTAGGTATTCTGATTAAGTACACTGTTTTCCAAATACTCAGTGGTGTATTGGTGGATGGGAAACCGGTATATGGTATGYATTATGTATACACAGTACTCATCCACCAATATAACACTTATTGTTTGCAAATTGATTTTGAGTGAGACACTGAGACAGTGGTAGATCTCGAACACCTAATTCTAGTCATAACTTATTAGTTATTGGACATTGATGTGAAAATGTCGTCCTACTCGTCCTCTATTAATATTATAACATTATGCTACTGAACCATTTTCTATGATAACAAACTAGTTGTATATTATATAATTATCAGTAAATTATTATATATTATATATTATATTGTGTAGGTACCTATGTCCTAATATATATGTATATATATACTAATCTTCAGTAATCATTAACAGTGATTACGGACTGAATGCGATATATCAAGAAGAAACCTAGGCAATACGTGATCGAATCTTGGAATGTTTATTTTTATGATTGGAACTACAACTGTAAGAACCACTCTTTTCCGGGTGCAAGAATATGATAATAACTAGGTAGATAAAATACAACAATTGTTATAAATTAAAATTCCTATTGTTTATTGTAATAAATATCAATAACTAATTTGTTTGACGTTACACACAACTATATATTATATTATTATCTATATAATGGCTATAATAAACTAATACCAAGATAATTTATTATACTATGTAAAAAAAACAGCTGTTTTGTCTCTAAAATCTAGTGAAAACGAATTCCATTTACAGATTAGGGCTCATTTAATCCGTGAACCGGATTCGTTTTTAATAAGCTTTACATAATCAAACGAAATATTGTTCTACATTGGTAAATATTGTCGCAATGATTCTAATAATTATAAATATCACATTGTTTTATTATACCTTATGTCTTATATATATGTAATGACTTATAATATACACGMAACATAAGATTTAAGAATAATTAAACATTTTAAAGTACAGTTTTGATGTTACCCTGTTCAAAAACACATAATATTATCATAAATAATATTTATTTAAACAAATAAATTTTTAAGTCATCATTAAAAGGCCTATAAAAATCTAAGCTAAACCGAATGTGTATTACATTAAGTACATTTTTAGGTATTTATTGATTAATGTATATAAGCCAATAAATTATATAGTATTTTTTTTAGATTTTTATATAATATATTATTTACAATATTCTTATGATCATGTAAGTTTATTATAAGTATAATACAGTATAAATAAATAAGTAAAATTTATTTTAAGAATATAATATGCCGTATATTATGCTCTCACGAGGTTTAATTGGGTTTTCAAAGTTTGAGGTGTTCATCGGTTGACGGAAGTTTAAAAATATTATCATTATTTACTATCTATATGTACTAAAACTGTGATTTAAGAATATTTCGATCTTTGCAGCGTAATGGTAATTATATATCATATCGCGTTTACATAATATAGGAACCGTTATTCCGTTATACATATTATTGGCATATAGAGGGTGATGTCAGCTGAAGACGGGCGCGTGAAATGAAAAACCACGAACGACGTACATAGTAACCGGAAACAATCGTTTTTAGGAACAGAAACGTCGCGGGAGGATCGCCCGTGTGTGATACGCGGCCTATGATATATGGAAGTCGCCTTTCATCAGCCTGGTGAGCGTCTTCTTGAACTGATGGTTGGCCAGAGCGTAGCAGAACGGGTTTATCGGGCTGTTGGCGTAGCACAAGAAGTACGCGAACAGGAACAGTCTCTCGTTCGTGCACGGTGGGTTGGAGCAGAAGCCCTCGATGAGCGCCAGTATGTGGTACGGGGTCCAGCAGGCCACAAACGCGCCCAGTATGAACGATATGGTGCGGAACGCCTTTCGGGCCCTGTTTTCCGACTTAGACTTTTGGCGGCCGGACACCTTGGGTCGTTTCACCTTTAGACGCTTGCCGATGGTCCGGACGAAGTCACCGCGAGAACTGCCCTCAC